GCATAACGAATATGTAAATGTTCCATTATGAATGAATAATTAACCTGTTTCATTACTTTCACATATTACTCACCTCATTTGATTTATGGAACAAGTCATTACACATGTCTCAAATTTCATCACATTCAAAAGCCATGCGTATGTTTTCCAAACAAAATTGAATCAACAATGGAATAAATGGAATACAAATATAAATTAAATCGAACTCTTAATATGGAATCAATCAAACTATGGAACCAACACCCAGCAGTAATATTTCCGAGCAGATACGATATTGAAACCTTCATGAAAAGAGCTTATTCCTTCCTAAAAGGCCGGCAACATACCTGCAATTTCTCTAATATAGCGGATGCTTATTGGCACGATAATCATTTACTAACAAGTGAGCCGCATGCTCGTTAGCCTCCTATGCAGATAGATGTATCTTATGATTCTGTATTAATGGCAGAAATCAGTATCTACTGTTACTTGAAAAATTGCCCGCCTGTGTCCTTTGCCGCAGCTATACGCTATAAAAAAAGAAATTTAAAAAAAAGAAATTTAGAATAAGTAATAACTCTACTACTTAGATTTTATTCTTAATTTATATAATTTTATATTCTATCTTATTATAATTATTATCCATTACAGCGGAGACCAATCAATAATCAAAGAGGTAAGTAAGAATAATGTATCTTTATATTAGTAAAAGTTATAACGATCTACTCGTAGAAATTGCGAAAAGTATACTTGTATCTAAATATTTATGTGTCTTCAAGTCCTTTGTGGGTTTGGTAGAAAGAACCTACTGCCAAAGGTTGTATTGTTGTATCTTTACACTTTACATATATAATATATATCTTGATTCATCCAATTTCCTAATTAGTCTCCACAAGCGGTGAACATGCATTATGTTCGCCGCTTACAGACACTCTCGACTCCTCCCTCTGATAAAACTATGTACCTACTTATTTCTCGGTTTGTCCAATGTTTATCTGGTAGAGAACACCGTCCAATGTTAAATCCGTTGAACACAGAATTTCAGTTTGAATTAAAGTTTAAATATAGAATATAAATAAATAAAACTCGGTATGTCGATACAAAGCCTTTTTTTTTTCAAATTACACATTACACACAGACAGAAACGTAACTTGTTGTTTTAGTTACATATTAGGAAAATCCAGAAAATATTCTAACCACTTTCCACGTAGGTACTTTTGCATGTACCTGCTTTGAAAACCGGAGTTTAACAGTACTGAGCCCATCAGAGAAACTTTACTTTCTACTGCATTTTATATACTAAGCACTATTTTTTATCTTCGTCATAAAGATTAACGTTCATACTCGTAAGTATAAAGTGTAGAGACTTACTCATATTCGTATTTAGAGTTATTAAGTCCTATAGATTTGTGACTCTGTTCTTTTTGTAATTTTTATTGTATTTGTATTAAAAAAATAACATAATAAATTGCTGTTATGTAAAATTAATAAAACAAATTTTTAATACGGTGGTAAATCAAATTTTATCTATGAGAGGGTTTTAACGTTTTACCTATTTAAACTTAAGTTTCAATATTTTTCCAATGGGACACTGTACAAAAGTCATTTACATGGATACCTTTACCTCACTCGTGTTTCTACTACAAACATAGGCGTTTTTAAAAAAGGGAGGGCGTAATATGTTTCTATCCCAGAATTGCCTGGTACCCGCCCTAGGACCAATAGCAATGAAATGGGCAAAGAAATGTTAAGAGTACATATGCGCGTTTATTAAAGGGTTCATCTATCGAATGACGGATTGACGGATATCAAAAGCAACATTTAAAAAGCCCATAACGATTTTTCTATTTGCAATCAACGTACTGTTTGCCATTTCTAAAAGTGTAAAAAAGATAATTAAACGGAACTAATAATTTTTATTTCTCACTATAATTACTCTTTCGATGGCAGATAGAGACAAAACAATATTGTAAATCTTAGATTTAACATACCTATTCAAGTAATGTCTATCGCAATCACTGACCAAACAACGAAGTTACGACATTGTTTGACTTAATAGGTGTACTTAGTATAATTACTGGTGGGTTTTTTGTAGGGCTGCCACATAAACTAGCTCTAACTAGGGTTACCTATTCTTATTGGTCCTTCAAGAGAAAAGTACCTACATAATGAAAAATCAATTTAAATTTTCAATGTCAATATAGATCATTATTTATATATATTTATTTATATTTTTGTAAATATTTAGGTACGTAAAAACCTAGACCTAAACAGACATACAAAACAAATACAAAACGACCATTTGTTATGATATGTAAAATGGTAACAAACTGACGGCCCACCTGATGGAAAATTGTAACTGTCACCTATAGCCACCTATATACCTAATTTTTGTATATAGGTACCTATCCACTATCCATTATCCTTATCCTTATCTATTACCTATATCCACTGTCATTTCTGAAGACTATAATATTATACCTCTGTATCCTGTAATTTTACTTCCATATTTTAAATCGCTTCACTACAATGGTATTTAATTGTTAGTTTCTCTTTTATTTAATAGCTATATAGATAAATTGTTGTAATTTTAAAACGCATCTGATGCTTTATAATAAATATCTATGTCTATTGAGACAAATTACTCTTTATATCTATGTGCGTAGGTGCACCTACAATTATTAATGCTTCATGTATGGTACCTACATCAGTAGATCTATTACTAAAAAATAAATTCCACTTTCTTCCACGTAAAACCACTGTTTGGAATCAACTTCCTGCAGCAGTATTTCCAAATCTATACTACGTAATAACCTTAAAAAAGAGCATATTCCTTTTTAAAAAGCCGGCAGTACACCTGCAATACATCTGTTGTTACGGGTGATCATAAGTGCGGAAGTCATTTACTATCAGTTGAGACGCATGCTCGTTGCCACCTGTTATAAAAAAAAGAAATATTTTGATGCCATTTTCTACCCATTACTTCTATTCTATAAAGGCATGAAATGTGAAATGTGAATAGGACTCTATTTTCCGCGCTTAGCCTCTCATTTGGACAGTTGTGCGTATGAGTCGTAGCTAGTACAGCCAACCTAGCTCCGCCCAAAAGCGCAGAAGCTTCTTGGGATCTTCACAGGCCTCACGGAGCGACTTCACCGTTCCGAGGATTTCTAAATGTTGATGGGTCACAGCCTTACATTCCAGGATTACGTGAGCAGCCGTTTCTTCGGCGTCGAAACAACCTCGACATAGAGGGCTGTCTGTGGCTCCTATTGTGTTTGTTTAATGGACAATGGCCCGTTATTGTCCCTATCATTATTTTGAGGTTTTCTCTATCTAGATGTAATAGTATCTATAAAGGCATATTATTCCTTTAGTACTTAACACATTTATTTTTTCTACTTATTTGAATATGTACCTTGCCCTTTATCTCAACTTTAGGCAATATATATACTTAAAGCAGCGGATATTACACTTAGGCGTGGTATGGTAAAACATTAAACAAGGCAAACAAGAGATCAAATAACTATATTATTTTCTTAGAACACTTCGCAAATATTTAGATTTACGATAACGTTTTTAAACACCATTGACATAATTAGTTTAAACAAGATTTCCAAACGAAGTTTAAGAAATTAAACCCATAGTTCAGTTTCCTTCTTCGACATCGGTAAACGAGGTCAAATATCTTTAAGTTCGTACCATCGTGCCGTCATATTATTTGAGTGGGTCATCTAAGATAAATATCATCGCCCTTCGCTGACCACGACATCATAATTTACTGGATAGTCATTAAACGAAGTATGATTGACGAAACTACATGTGCATTGTCATGTAGGCACGTAAAAAGAGAATGTCACCGAAATACTACTAGCGTATACATTATGAAATAGCAATAGGATGATGTTATTGAGCAATTAAAAAATGTGCCTTTTATTCGCGACAAATAACAGTATAGCTATTTAATTTAAACGACCTGCCTTTTCATTATCACCTATCATTCCACATTGGCGTCCTGCCAGCGTATACCGTTAGCGCAGGCGGGGTTCCATTTCATTACCATCCATTAAAAAAATATATAATTGTTGACTTTGTGTACAATCCACGAGCAGGATCAACCTATGAGTTATATGATCACAATTAACTGCTTAACCATGCTATGTCGTCTTACTAACTGCTTTTTTACGCATCTTTTGAAGGCATCTAGGTATCTATTACATTGTATTGGTATCTCTGTAAGCAATATGGTCGAAACGAAACAAAATACATGCTGAAGGCAGATTTAAGACAGGCGCTATTCGTCCTTTATTTATTATACAAATAACAGGTATTATAAACCTTGCAGGTTGTGAGCAGTTGTGTACTGTAATGTTCCAAAACACGTACAGTTCTGTGCTCATTCCACAATCCATCACAATATCTTCTCAAATATATTACTTGTTTATACATTTCCGTCACAATATATCCTCAATATTGTTTCTTTATCGTACACGTACAAGATATTGTTGCATAGAGGGAGAGAAGGTATGTTAATAATGGAGACTTTATTATTCCTAGCAATGTGGGGTACATTATAGGGTCAGGTCGAACTCCACGCGATATCCCCTGGAAATCTTCGTGATCAATTATTATGAAATTCGTCGCGATGTGCCAACTGGCCTGACTTCATCCTCACCTATCATTCCTCACTAGTACCTCGCCAGTGTATACCGATATCACAGGCAGCGTTATATAATCTATTAAAATAATAAAATATATCGTTGCAGATAATTTAAAAATGTCTTCAAAAAGAAAAGCTTTTATTTTCCGATTTACTATCTAAAAAATACTCGATAATTTGAAGTTGGTAACCCATAACTATTGATTGTTTAAAATAGCAGCGCCATCTAGTCAACCTACTCAAAAACGCAATTTCATCGAAGTATCTACAACAATCCACAACTAGGTAATTTATGATACATTCTTTTAGTTTTTATGTAATGTTACCCACTATCTTACAATAAATAAAAATCAAATGAAAGTACAAAATATTTTATTTACATTAATCTTAAACAATTTTACAAAATGAATATCTTATACTAACTGTATATAAAAGCGCAAGTAAATAAAAGGTACGTATTATCATTATAAATCATATTTATAAAGTACCAATATGTTTTAAAAAATATCATTATCGTTTATTGATAATAATATTTTCCTGTTTATCGTTCAATCATGCGCAGACGCAGTGGACCATCGGGGGCGTACATAAATGTAACAGCATAGTCCAAGGGCTCATGGTGGTATTCCAGACGGTAACGACGTAATAACTGAAAATTAAGTATAGATTGTAAAAATCAAAATAAAATTGTTAAAATTTTCATGTGATGTTTTATGCAATGTTGATGTGCAAATAAACTGACGGCTGACCTGATAGAATGTAACAACAGTCATCTATAGACATGAACAGTACCATGAGCATAACAGAGTATATTCTGTCGCCGCGATACCTATATATGATTACGTGATCTTAAAATATCCTTATGTTTAAATTTAGTATTTGTGTTCATCCATACAGTGAAGGAATAATAACAATAAACATATAACTAGTCACATTTCGCCGTGTGTGCCCCACATAGAATAAGCCGACCCTTCCTTTTCCCTAAGTATGGTAAGAGACGACTAAGGGAGGACGAGGAATAAGCAACAGCGACCCTCTTAAAAATCTCTAAAAGCCTAACTACGGTTGCCAACCCGCCTGCCAAGCGTGGCAACTACTGGCAAAACTCCCCTTATGGGAAAAGCTTATGTTCAACAGTGGACAGTTTACGACTGCAATAACAATAAAAGTCACATTTACTTCTCATACCCAGAATACCTAAGAGGTGATTAAAGGAAAAGCAGTGTACATCACCAAAAAGAAAATTTAAACACAGATAAAACGCCGTTCCATTTCACCTAATCAGAGTGATAACAGTATGTATGATATATTATTATCTTCCTCATAAAGAAAAAAACTATTTACCAGTGGTCATTGGTAGGTTATAAGATTTTTTTACTGTAATTACCTTAGCAAGCAAAATCTGAATTTCGAGATCCGCAAATCTTCGACCAAGACAAATCCGGGCTCCAAAACCGTACGGCAACGATGCAAATGGATGCAGCCGACCATTGTTCTCTAGCCATCTTTCCGGTTTGAACTCCTCAGGATCAGAGACAAACCGTTCCATGTTGCCGGTCACAATTGTGGGAAATACTACTTGAACCTGGAAAAGTACGACAGTAATTAATAAATAATTTATTTTATCTATTAAAAAAGTAATTATGCTTTGACTTTAAGTTTAGATGTATATTGAATTCTTGATATATACAATACGCAATATTTGAGTATAATAGCATAGGAGTATGAATGGGAAGTAGGTAAAGTTTATAAATGCCCATATTGCTCTTTAGCAATATTTTTTTACCAAATGTACATATGGTACTTTAAACTCATATTTTTCGTTTCCCACGCCTATTTAGCGCATAATTAAAAACCTATATTTCATATTAAATACGTACAGTATAAAGATTCTACTCGTACACATTTAGCCAGAATTGACAAAAAAAAAAAAAACTTACTCCTTTTGGTATATGATACCCGCAAATAACGTCGTCTTCTTGAAGAGTTCTTCCATTACCGATAACAGTTGAATACATTCTAAAAATTAGAAAATTAAACATTAATCTGCTACTTTATTAAAAACCATGAATCATAAGATCTTTTACAAGAAAAAAAGTTGATATTCTCTACTAACACTATTGTCCATAGATTCGCACGCAAATTTTCTAATCATATCTTTATATTTTATGCGGTAGCTACATATATAAAAAACTCCTACGCAAAATTTAATGCTATACGAAATATCAGTGTTTACAGTTCTTTGGCCAATTATTTCATTTCTCCCTTTCTGTATGATTTAATATACATATATTTTTTTATTGATGTATATTGATTAATTTATTATCCGGGATATGATTAGTGTTATTCTAGTATTATTGTTAAATCTGATTTCAGAATTTTTAAAAGTTTAAAGTTGTTTGATATAATACCAATTGTACACAGCTTACCTGAAAACTTCTCTAACAAACGCCTTAGTATAATGCAGCTTATCCAGATCTGCATATGTAAGGGGTTTACTTGGATCAGGTAATACCCTCCTAATTTCTTCAGCCATCTTGTCCTGCTGCTTTAGGCGTGTAGCCGCCTGATATAGAATAGAACAAACTGCCATGGATATCTGAAAAATGTATTCTTTTAACGTTTGATTTAAATGAAGGATGTTATAAATTGAAAACTTTTATCTAAATGTCTATGTAAATGGATCCAACTATTTTGGATCGAACCATAAATTAAATAATTAATTATTTGGAGGTAGAGACTAGAACAGTTCAGAATAATATCAGTATAACAAATAGTTTGTATATAAATGTTCTGAAATTACCGTATCAATCCCCACTAATATTAAATCCAAAGCCATCACAGTTGCGATCTTGGGATCCCCTTCACTCTTCAATACTCGTTCCAAAAGAGACAAGTCATTTTCTGATGTTACTTTTTTCGTCTTGAGTCTCTCTAATGCTTCATTGATATAACGGGAACAAAGTCTAAAGAGAAAAAGAATTATTTTTAATTAGTTTGATTTAGGTAATCAAACATTATTGAAATATTTTTTAAATTTATATTTTTTTTTCTACAACTTGCAACAGCAAAAATGCTAACGGGTCACACGAATAAAAGAAGCAGCCGTATCACAGTATACACTATGATGTTTATTGTACCTCTCATGCGTTACCATTCCTAAGAACAATGGTCTCTATAGCCTGATCCTAAAATTAGCCGTATCCCATCCCTTAGCATTAAAGACAAAAATAAAATAGAATGCCCATTATATTTTAGATAAAATGCTACTTACTCAACAAAGAAATTCATATTATTAACGTATTTGGTCCACAACGGTGTAGGAATGTATCGCCAGTATGGTGCCTTCAATTCCAAAACAGCTACATTCCGGAGAGCGTATTTCGCTGCATTAATGATTCGTTGAGGTTCCGAATCATTAGAGAGTTTACTTGATAAACAACCCAACCTGACGTCAAGAGCTACACGACCAATACCTGTAATTTGTCAATAGATGGCATTATTTAGGTAAGAAATGAATTATTTAATAATTTTACCAAATCAGCGCTATTAACTCTCTGCCCCACAATAATAATAATTTAAATAATAATATTATTTAAATACAAATAAATAAAATTAAACAAAATAGTGAGTAAATTTAACCTTTTCATATTATTTGTTCTTGGCATCATCGTTATTTTAAATTTTATAATTGATAGCTATGATTGGAATAAATTAATTTATTATTAAAAGAATTATTCAAATAGTGACCCAGTCATATTCTGTATTCTCTTTCTCGTGGGTGTTGTAAAAGGTGAGTAAGAGAACTTAACTGAGGTAGAGTGATGGGCAGCAGCGTCTCTCCTCAAACATCACTAAAAGCCTAATTGCAATTACCAACCCGTCTACCAAGCATGATAACTATTGGCAAAATTCCCCTTATGGGAAATTTCAGCTAATGTTCAGCAATGGGCAATTAACAACTGATGATAATGATGATGATTTATAATATTATGATCGGCAAAATATGAGTATGTCGAGTATAGGTTCACCACAACAGCAACACTTGTATCAAATCCATTAAGGATTACCACTGTAAGCGTAATATTGTACTGATTCTTTCCTGAATGAGCGTATTGAGAGACTTTAACGCTCACCCAGTTAATCTAATAAATTAATAATTAATTTTTTTGTTATTAAAATAAACATGTCTAATCACTGTGGGCATTTAATTTAGCCACTAATATATATTTATTTATTTTTGACGTGGCCTATATTATATACAAAATTACTAAGTTATAGTACATTAATAATTTTTGCATAATAATATTTTGGTGAAACGTGTATCTCGAACACACAATTTAGAATGTGAATCTAAATATGAAGCTTACAAAATAATAGATACTCACATTCAAGCGACCATCGGTGTATGTCATTGTCGAACTCATGTGGCAGGTCCCCGTTCTGATCTCGAGCATCCTCCATATACCTGATGAAGTCCTCTGTGACTAGCTCGATCGGTGTGACGTATTTCTTCACCGTTTGCGGTTGTAAGATCGGTCGCTGAACTTTCGAGCGGAACTTGCGCCATTGCTCACCATGTCTGTAAAATGGAAAAAAAACTATTTCAATTGTGGCAAAACCAGATATTTTGGTTTAAATACTACAATAAAGTTTATATAAGACCAATTTGTAAGTATATCTGTATTTATGTATGTTTGTATTTACTTTTTGAAGTCGGTTGAAAATTAAAACAGCAAAGGTACTACATATCTACGTTTTAATATAGAAAACGTTAAATCGCAAAGGTAATATATAAAATTATAGTATAAGGCAGAAGGAAGCACAAAAGATCCCAATAGGTCGACGTGCAATGGTTTAGATGACCCCATATGCAATTAAAAGGTTACAATAATATTATAATTGTTTAATAATAATTTTCTAATATAGGTATGGTTGATGCACTGTGTCGCACGAAAGAAAGCACCATTCCCTACTCGGACACTAAACGTCACACGTGTTGATAATCAGTTACCTAACGTGAAAATTTTAATAAGTACAGTCAGCATCAAAAATCAATTAATATTTTTGTACAGATTTTTAAATCCTTATTTAAACACTTTATCCATAATTAGTTTAACTACATAGTAACAGAATTGGATGAACATCGTTTAGCAATATCATAATGTACCTATACTACGGAGTATAGAGAATGTAAAACCAAAATATTCATCGATCTCATATGCTGACCACACATAAAAATAAAGATATTAACAAAAACTCCGCAAAACAAGCCAATATAATTTTGTAAAATATAAAAGCAAGGTTATATTCGTTCATAGCTTGCAAATTGTAAACCAAAGTAAAAATAAATTGTGAAGGGCAAACCAGTGGTCGAACACGTTTACTGTCAATGTGGAATTTCTACTTAATTTCATTTCAATTCTTACTCGTATCTACTTAATTTTAAGCGACTTCAAAAAGGAGGAGAATCTAAATTCGTCTGTATTTTTGTATTTGTATATAAAGTCGTGCCCTTGAACTGATTTTAATAATTCTTTTTCCAGTCAAGAAAATTCTTGTAAATTGACTGAAATTGACTTCCGTATCGTACATTACTTTAGAATTTTTGTTTGCGGAGAAAAGTCCAAAATTAAAAGTTTGTTATAGAATCTTACCTAAATTTAACGTAAATATTTATTATTATTCATAAATAAATTCTACAAACTAGTTGAACTATAAATAGCGAAGTATCTACCCAAACAGATGGTCATTTGAAAATGGTAATAAGTCCATAAGCTGTATAGAAGAATCTAAACAAGTCATATAAATATTTGCACACATAAAACCAGCTGTCAAGGCACATAAAGTCAAAGTACATAAAGTATAATTGTCCATAAACTTGACTTATGGCTTGTAAACAATAGATGCGCATAAAGAAACATTATGCTTTTCACTTTTGTACGTTAAGAAAGGGCAAACCTACCGCAGCGATATAAAATCAAAATATGTAGTCTCTCATACCTATTATTGAGTACACATATAATTGAAGATCTTACTTCGCAAAAAAGGTTATACATGACTGTTCCATATGTCATTTATTATTTATGTTCTATATATTGGCAACACTGTAGCATCAGCAATGAGGATGTCACTGTACAACATCAACATGTCGGGTTGTTTTATTATAATAAAATAAATGGTTTTCTCTTCATGCCGGACTTATTTCATAAACTGTTCCATAACACATATATCAACGATCAAACAAAAACTAATTTAATATGGAAATAAAACGAGAGCAAACCCTATCGATTTCTTAAAGTATAATATTGTATTCCACAAAAAAAGACTTCATTTGTAGCAAATCCTTTTAAAACCAAAAAAAAAATGGATTTAATAACTAAACTACTTGTGGCTGCAACAGAATATTATTTAGTAGTAGTAGTGTTTTGCTGTTTTGAGGGCAAAGCAATAAACTGAGTTGTGACCATTTTGGGTTACTGTGGCACACTCACGAAATGGAAAAATTATGTTACTTCTTTTATGTATAATATTTTCCTTTTATTTTATTTTTATACTTATTATTTATGTGTTGTAAGTAATGTAAATAAATTATATATCTATCTATCTAACCAAACTGAAAACCTTCTTTTTGAAGTTAGTTGAAAAGAATCGAAATTATGATGTAATTGTTATTTCTTCTTCTTTGACTGTATCTTAACATACACAAAATAATAATTTAAGTTTCTAAATATTGATAAATATTAATGTGTTTCATATAATACATTGATAAATAATTTTTCCCGTTTATGACAGCTATAAATATAAATTCCATAAGTCGTTTGAATTTATACATATTCCAATCAGATGTTTATGGATTATTATATATGGATGAATTCTAACCATGAATGCCAATAGATTGTAACAATCTAGAACAGTAACTAAGTAATCAGTTATGGTTTCTTTTTAGAAATTATTTAACAAAACGTTTTAAATTTATTTCAGATATTATAATTCATGAATTTTATCAAGAAACCGTAATTTTAATTGTTTACTACTAGTTGATCTTGCAAATGATAGCTTTAGATTTAGGGGTAATCACCAATACCACCAATGGGGTGCATTTTTTCTTGGTTTCATTAAAAACTTTTCGTTCATTTCGTTAAGAACTATCTTATCTCTCAAGTTGGAACAAGCAATGAACATTTACAAAATTTACAAATAATGTCAAGATTATGACATAGAATTTTTATATATATTTAACTATTATTAATACTAAAAGTATAACTATATCAAACTAAACTTTGATGAGTGGCGATCCTTCACCGTGCGCATCTATCTATAGGCATTTTCTTCCACGCATAACCAAAGTATAGAACCAACTCCCAAAAGCAGTGTTTCCGAACAGATTCGACATTGAAATCTTCAAGAAAAAAGCATACATATTCCTTATTTGAAGGCCAACAACACACCTGCAATTCCTCTGATGTTACGGGTGCCTATGGGCGGCAATAATAACTTACGATCGAATGACTCGCAATTTAGTTTGCCTCCTATGTTATAAAAAAAACTATGCATTCAGTCATTACCCCTATCATTTAATCTACTAATTCTTGTTCTTTGTAGGCAATGACATGATGTACCTAAGTAAATATAAACGATGAAATCGCATGTTGAATAAAAATGAACATGACTCTGATGCCGTGACAGCATTCGTGGAATATAAACATTCTTGCTCACGACCATACTTGCACGATGGTCACTAGATATGCGTTTGCTTTACTGCACATGAAAGGTGTAAGGAGTAAACCATTTTTAGATATCAATTAATTACAATCATTTATGCAAAGATATTAAACAATACAGCCTGATCTTTTATTCATATACCGTTTCTGGTCACATGTAAATTATTTCAAGCTCAAATATAATGAAATTTTCGTTATTACCCTGAAATGAGTTCAATCTTAAATAAATTAGTATACATTTGATTTTTATTTTAAAATAAATGCGTTGTATTGAATATCATTTCAGTTAAAAATAATAATGCAAGATAATTTAAGACATTTTCCATAAAAGAAAAATTACAGTCACATCATGTATATTAAGGATTTTTTTTTCTCTTTATTTCCCTTAATAAAAACTCATATTATTTTTGTATTAATAAAGGAGACTTTGTACAAAAGTCGATTGCTTGGGTACCTCTGTCCCATTCGTGTTTGAACCGTGAAGCAGTTGTGTTTGCATGACTGTGTTTCGGTTTGAAGGGTGGGATATGGCGTGAATTTACTGGGTACAGAGGAATAACACCTGAGTCCTCAGGAATGGCAACGCATGGGGGGTATCATGGGTGAAACAGTATAGTCTGCTATGTCCATGGTGCTGCTCATGTCTATAGGCGACGGTTACCACTTTCCATCAGGTGGGCCGTAGGCTTGTTTGTCATTCTAAGTTGCAAAAAAAAAAAAAAAAAAAAAAAAAAAGGTAATGTTTTTTTTTTTTGATGGGTGAAAAAGGTATGGTAACCCCGCCTGCGCCAACGGGATACGCTGGCGGAGCACCAGTGAAGGGTGATAGATGAGAATGAAAACAGGCCAGTTAGCCCATCATGATGAATTCATCAGGAATTTACCATGATAGTTGGTTGCAATGGGATTCTCAGTCTAACTAGTCTAGTCAGATTACTAACAATCCCTTCCCCCCCCCCCCCTAAAGATAATGTTAAGTATTATAGTACTAATAAACTTAACAAATAATCATTACAATATATAATTTAATGAAGATTTAAAGAATTAACATGTGGACTTGACACAGATTGCTAAATGCGTTAATCGAATAATAGATATTTTAGCATAAATCAAGTATTTCAGTATTAGTGATTATAAACACAGATTAATTATCTAAATCGAACGCATGGGCTCATGGTCAAAGCCGACGAATAGAATCCATGTTAACAAATGTTCAAATCCGTTCAATAGTTTTTGCGTTAAAGAGTAACAAACATCCATCCATCCCTCGTTACAAACTTTCGCATTTATTATATTAATAGAAATATTGGAGGCATAACAAAATGCAAGATTTCCGAATGTGTACACAAATTATACAATATTTTATTTGTCATGTACACTAGATACCTATTTATTTAGCATCATACTAGCACTTATTCATCGTGTATTCTTACTATTACTAATCCTGATTCACAAGTTGGCACTTTAGCTTTAAATACCAATATTTACTAAATATTGATTTATTTGAAATCAATGTGGTCTTCGACTACACTGGGACAGACCAATTATTACTTTATATATAGTTAGGCTAAAACGCACTCACATACAAAATACACAACTATTTTGCAGCTTACAATATTATATCTGCTTGATAAAACGTCAACCTGCTTAACACATCTCTTTTTAACTTTTCTTCTGTAAAATTTGAGTCGAATATTCTAGATGTTAAATTTATTATTATTATAGGAAACGTATGAGGGATTTTTAGTGGATGATAATGGAAGGGGTTACCGCTTGCGCTAACCGAACCGATGAAAGATGATAGGTGAGAATGAAAAGACAGGTCAGTTAGAACATCGTGATGAAGTCACTTTGAATT